CTTAAGAACCTTCTGAGCGTTTTGTTCCTCACTAGAAGTTGCTAGCTTGTCCAAATCATCCCAAATTCTTCAAACAGCACAAGGTTAGTAAACAAGTCAGCTCATATGCAGCCTTCAAACAAAATTATACAGAAAAACCAGTTATGAACTGCTTGGTTTAGAGATGAGATGACTAGCAAACACTAAAGCCCTCCAAATTCTGAAGCCACAAGCACACAAGCCCCCCCGGGAGCCTCCAGTTTCCCAGGTCAAACCAGAAGGTTATGCTTTACACATGGTCCCATGGAGGGCAGCCAAACGGTGAGCCTGGAACGACACAAGAACTCCCACCTCATCCTCCAAACCTCAGTGTTTAACTCTTCTGTTACTGCACCTCCAGGCAGGATGCGGGGATTTTAGCATTTGCACAAAACAAAGGCAAAAAGTTATCTGAGCCTGCCAAGGTTTAGGTATCACCACATGTCCCTCCCCTGTACTCTTTATCCCCTAGATGGGAAAAACTACTCCCAAGAATAATAACTGGTACGAAAGAAAAGGAATGAAGAGAAAAGTTTCCACTAAAAAAGAAATGCATTCTGGGAAACTCATTCATTCATTCAATGTGAGATGCAGATCACAATTCTGTTGCCAAAAGATCACCTACTCAAAATTCACCATTTCACATTATGCACAGTGATATATTCAGAAAGTTGTTCTGTTACTCATTATTCCTGAATTACTTATCTACGTTGTTTCCAGAAGTGACATTATACTGCCTTGCAGTCAACTCTGACCAATTATTTAGCACATTTAAGAACGCAGAACCTGTACCAAATCAAGCACCACACCAGGAAGATACCACTTGCTGCAAAAACAGAACAATTTCCAAATGTCATTCAAGCTGAATATAGTCCTCTTCATTAATCCTCTGACATTTGTCAAATAGGAAACTCTAACTATCATAAACTCTTAAAACCTGTATGAAAAGATTTTAAACTAAAAGGAAATTTAAGTAGAGATAGGAAACTATCACCAACTCTTGACAAGCCTTGAGGTGTTTCAAAATAAAAATATAAAGAACCTCATTGAGTCTGAATTCTGAAATGTTTTTTATCTTCCCTAAAAATAGGGAACTTCTCCCACTTACAGGTGCTGCCCTGCTGTTGTACAATATATGTACTTTTCAAAATCCAAAACAGAGGTGATCCAGGGAGGGGGCAGCGCACACCAAGAATACGTCTTTATACTACAGAAGGGATTTCTGCACCTGCCTTGAAGTAGAACAACTGGAGTTAAAAGTCCCTCCTCATGACACACCAGCAATCCCAATATATGAAAAAAAGAACCACAGCCTAACAGGAGACCCCTCTGAAACCAGGCAGACGTCTCCATCCCCACCCCTCGGTGATGGTGAGCTGACAGGCACCCTGCGACACCTGGGCAGCCCATCTCTTCACCACAACAGAGCAGCTCGCTGAGGACGCTGCACTCCGAACCACATTCACACATCCAAACAAGCCATAGCTCTAAATTTAGGTCTCCCTTCATCCACTGCAACAGTTAATATGAGAAAGTCTTTAAACAACGGCAGGCAACTCTCCCAGTACATTTGTTGAACATGTATGTATAATACATTCTTATTTCTTACCATGGTTATTGATTAAATGCTTGTTTCCTAGAATAGGGTTTTTATGTAAATAAATTAATATATTCTTAAATTGTATCACAGATGTCCATAAAATCCTAATTATATAAAACTCATAACATTGTAATTACACAGTGATCAAGTAATTATGTACTGTGCTCAACACTGAGTGTTCTGGAGCAACGTTAGGTTTCCCATTTTGTTTTACTTACATAAGACAGCAAGGATCTGACCACCATCGCATTCAGAAATGGTGACCAGATTTTGTAGAGACTAGGAAAAAAACCATGAAACTATTCTGCAAAGTTATAAAAAATTAATAGTTATTATCAACAGACTTTATTAAGGCTAGAACCTCCAAAGGAATACATTCCTATAAAAATAATCTCTACCATACACGCCTATCAGAACATGCTCCACAACTGGCATAAATTAATGAAATCAAAATACCATAAGAAAATATCCCTTGAATAATCCAGCTGAACCCAACTCTTCCCTTGATTTGTTTGGATAAAGCAAATTTCCACTGAGACTTCACCTAACCTGCAGCACCCAGAGAGGCCAGAATACAGCACCTGGAAACATTCATCCTTGTTACCAAACACATGAATCCATTTCTCAAAGTACTGGATCTAGTTTATATCTTGCTGAGAGTGATTCAGAAAGTGTAGCATTTTTTTGAAACGGAGGGAAATACATGTTCCTTTAATATCAATTCCCATCAGTTCTAACAGTTAATTATTTACACCTTTTAAGCAACTTGAGATCAAGAAATTCTGTAAATCTGTATTTTGATTAAAGGACAAATATGGGTGTACAAAGACTTGCCAACTCATAAAGAGGACCAGCTGTGAAACACGGCCTCATTTCCTTAATTTGACTTCCCTGCTACCCTCAGAAGAGTGCAAGTCAAATCCCAAATACGAGAGCCAATACTTCAGTTTCATTTTGGACATCATCCTCTTTTCTTCCTAAAGATACAGCACTTTAATTCCAACCCATGGTTGCATCAACTATAGCATTCTTATTTCACCTGCTATCAATTTATTTTTATTGCAATCATGTTACTTCACATTTCCTTCTACTCTTTTGAAAGGTTTACATTATTTTCAATTATTAAAAATGCTATGTATAAAATATTTTCACTCTTAATTAGATTAATTCTTTCAGAAGCCATGGACTTTCATGCTAGCTGTAGAACACACTTGACGTCCGATGCACCAACACATTGTTCATCCATCCACGTAAAAATATCAATGACAACAAGAAAAATAGGCAAGAGGCGAAACCTATGTAGATATTTGCAAGCGCAATATACTGACGGTAAAAAGAAAGACATATTTAAAATTAAGGCATACACTTTTTTAGTGACATTGTGTACCAGTTCCTAGTATCACTTGCAGAGCCATAGAAATGAACCACCTGGCTGGTGGCCTGGCTAACCTGAGGGTGTTAAGCTGAGTAGATCAATGATAGTGGTAACTTGCCAAGATGAACCTTTGCTCTAAGCAAGCTGGAATGGCTATCACTGGTACCGTAACCAAGTAAACAAAACTACAACAAATAAAGACAGGATAAAAGAGGATCAAGGGCTGCACAGGTGAAAGCAACAGGGACGAAAATAAAAAGTTATTATAGTAGACCTAAGCTCTTACACAGAGTGCTGTGAATCATCAACCAGTCAGTATTCAGACAGCAGATGGCTGGAAGGTCCCCATATGTGCAAAATATTATCAAGGAGAGTCCATAGTAACAGTGGAATACAACTTAACACTAGGACTTTTATATGAACTATGCTTAAAGAGAATTCACTGACCCACGTCAAAACCCTGAAGATTGAAGGATTCTCAGAAAAAAAGCGGTATCAAAACACCTTTTGAAAATAATCAATAGATCTCTCCAAAAAGAACAGTTCTCAACTGACTTTAACAATAATCTAATTTTGATACTTCATTGCCACTTCGCAGTCTGTTAACTAGCCCCAATGCTAAACAGCATTTAATTGCATTTAAGCACTCTTGTTGTAAAGGAACATTACCTAATACCAACCTTTAAATAACAAAAATTCGTTTAAAATTACATTGATGAAAAAGACATTAAAATGTTAAGAGATTGCTCTTTAGTCACTGCCCTTCAGTCCACTCCAAGGGCTGCCAAAGTGAGCACCTTCTTAAGCATTTTCACCAAGCGCTGCCCAACACGCAGGGAAAGCGGCAGGCATGCCGGGCAAGCACCTCTCCCTTCATGGCAGCGCACGATACACCAAGTACAGACACATGCAACATCCCTTTCCCTCGCTGACAACCTGATTTCCACCCAACAGATGTAATACATTTCATTCTCCATTAGAGGGACAGATGCCTAAAATAGCTCAACTTCAGATTTTCGTGTTACTCCTACCAGAGCTGGCCAGCAAGAGCAATCTCCCTCTGAAATAACAGTCCGGATTCAGGGGCTATTGCATTACCACCTGATGAGTAACTGAAATTTGACTAGCTACATCCACACTGCAGCATGTGAACTTCAAAACCAGCCCTCTGATGGCTCTGCTGGCTCAAGTTTTCAGTAGGTACCACCGAGCTCCGATTTCATAACCACACACGCAAAGATCTGTAACTTGTGTTAGCCTTTGTCTGCAACTGCCTCACCAGGCGAAGGGTCTTCTCGGTGAAGAAGCTGAAGCTCTCCACCAGGGCTGCTGATGGCCATGCATGTTCCAAAACATGTCAGCCAAGCTCTCAAACACTCTACTACAAACTGAGCTGTTCTTTTTTTTTTTTCCCAAACCATTTCCAAACTCCTGTACCCCATATTTAAGCCTGCTAACAACAGGCTTCATTTTCCTCAGTATCCTTTGTAGGCCCTGCGTTTGGAGACAGAAGCTTCAGCCTGCTACCTTCTGTGAGAAACTAATGTGGATTTACAGAGTGCAGCACGATAGCACAGACCTGCTATTCTAGGCAGGGATTTTCAAGGACCCCACTCTAGGCTATTTTACTTTTAAGTTGATTTTCTTGAAATCAGCAATGCCTGCGAGGCTTCCTTTGCTCCGCGGTACAAGTTACACTTGCACTCAGAAGCTGGCATAAGGTACAACCAGGAATTTGCATGCACTCACAGGTAGACAGGTTTCCATTCCTCAACTAATTTTATATTCTTCCCTATGTAGGGCCTTAAACTACACATGAACTAGAAAAAAATTGTACCAACAAGCAATATCAACCTGAATGCTAAAAGACCGGAAGCAAATCACAACCACAAGGCTGCTCCTTTCTGTTAGATATTATTCGCTTAAACTATAAAGCTGGTAAGTTCACAAACGGTTACACCAACACCAAACTGTTAGAAATTCCTAGTTGATACCTCTTCTCCTTACCTCCACTGAAAAGGATGGCTGTAGCATGGACTAGATGGATTGCTCTGGGTTTTTGAGTTCAGGTAAAATACTAGAGGAGAAGTAACAAGTGCACAGTCAGCACTAAACGGGAATTTAAGGTGCTGCAGACCTGGAGCAGATGTAGGAGAGAACGTGTGCTGATGAACATCACTTCCTCGGCAGTGGGAGTACAAAGAAGAGGAGATTCTGACAAGGTACCACGGTAGGAAAAAAGAATAAACCAGGGTCAATATCATATTTTCTGTTTCAATAAAGAAAAAAAAAGATACTTCCAAGATACAAGTTATATCTTCTTAATAAATGCAATAAATTGTCATCCTTTTGATTATCATCCAAACCAAAATGGACTTGTCAGCCAATATAATATCTAATCAATGTTATTTTTCCACTACAAAAATCTTCCAATCTGGAATTATCCAAATTCTTTTTTGTAGTGATTCCCAGGCTTTCTAGAGCACGCACCACTGTCAATCCTTCATGTAAAACATTTAATTGAGAAAAACTAACAAAGTTGATAACGGCACCAATAACAGACTTGGACCATTTATATCACAGCCTTCACCATTTGGGAGCCATGGTTCCACGCCAGGGCTGTGGCAACAATAGAAACACGCAACTGTGAAAACATGAATTACACGAACCATTAACTAGAAAACAACATGTAGCACTGACAGTGTTTTATAACAACAGCTAGTTAAGCCTGAAAGCAGCACTGCAAAATGGCTTTATTCTAATTCTAGCAACGGTGAAACTGAGGCATAACAAAGTTAAGTGACTTGTCCATAGCACGTCCATTGTAGCATCAGGATTACAGCTGAGGACACCGATTCCCAGCTCTGTGCTCAGTTCTGTAAACTCTACTGCTTTTGCAGGGTTAGCAGCCAACATGTATTCATCCACACAGAGAGCACAGAAAATTTATCAAAGTAGCTGCTTTCCAAAAAGCTGCAAACAGACTTCTATATAAACATAAAAAAGAGGTTCTAACACCTACTTTATTGAACTACACACGATAAGGTGTCCTTCACTAGAAATAAAGTGAAAGTTAACTTACAAATATTGGTATTATAAAGTGTGCTTATGCATTAGAATATAAACTAGCGCCTCTGTATTTTTACAACTATAACTTTGATTTTGATTGAGGGATGAAAAATGTTTCTATTTACCATATTCAAGCATAAAAGTGAGCTAAAGAGAAATTTTCAGTTTTGTTTAGTATTCAGGCATTTTACATTGAAAGTCCTGAAGTCAAGCACGTTTGTCAATGCTTTAAATTTCCTAATGAATCCAAATATTCATCAGTAGGTAACCTTTAGATATTGGAAATCCTCCTCACTAGCAATCCCTGCTTAAACAGCTGATAAGCTTTACAGTCTACAGACAGAAAAGGTTAAGCCTGCCTCTTGCCCTGCTCTTCCCTTCACCGACTATGTGAGATTCATTTAACCTCTTCTACTTACACACATAGTATTAAATACACAACTTCCTCAATTTTGATTACAAGAATTAATAAATATAATTACGAGCATCATAAACAGCAGTTTTCATTAGCAGATTTCAAAGGATTTATAAAGGACACAAGCACTAAGAAGGAATTGCTTCTATAAATTTCATTTGTAGAAATACACGTGGCAATGTAAATACAGATTTTTTGTTTCAAATCTGAAAGTTTTCAACAGCATTCTTAATTTTAAAAGATAATAAAGGTAGCAAAGGTTTCTGGAGATTTGAGCCCTGTGACAGCTTTCTGGCAGATTATTAAAAGTACTTTTTAAATCTGAAGAGTGACCAAACTCAAAAGACAGAGTTACAAACATTCAGTTTTACTATGTTAATTAATGCTTGGTACAAAACCTAACCACAAGGTATGTCATTTAAAAACATTTAAATATTGCTCTTTTTTGGCTATACTTTACGGTAAATACTCCACAGAATAAAATGTTAAGCTTCCAAATGAAATTTCGTGTACAGCCAAATAAGCATGACAGATAAAGAAAGTTCTAACAAATAAAATCAATGTTTATTGGCCACAGAAAATTCTGGCTTGTTTTTCTTCAAGTTTCAATTTGAAATGTTTAAGTGCAATTTATTTTTCACAACAGCCCTTACTGGATCCGCAGAGATGGGGCTCCAAGCCTCTGTTTCCTCCGTTTCATCATTGTGCTGACACACTCTGTTTCTTCCCAGCATAAGAGGCTTAGAGCCAGGAAGGAGTGCCCACCGTTATCACTCCAATGCAGACCACAGAACAATCACCGCAATTCCGAGCTCTTCACGTACCCCCAGTGTCACAGAGATCTCAGGAGTTCAGTAATGGTCCAGATTAATCACACGGCTCATGTCAAAAACCTAATTATTTAAAAAATGAGTAATCTTTTATGAGTCTATTCATAGCATCCAGAGTAAGGAAATGCAGCCCAACAGTACAAAACAAAGGTGCAGAAAAGTCCAGGACACAAACTAGCCATCTGCCCTGTCCCGCAGTCAGCAATACAGTCCTGCCACGCTCAGGCTGAGCCCACAGCAAATCAGCAACAAAATTCTCCTGGCTCCAAGGAACAGCAACACTCGCTCTCACCAAATCAAAAGGAAAGCGTGAAGCCAAAGGGAGCGATGGCACACTTGAAAGGATTCTGGCAGAAATCTCACATAGCAGCTTGAAAACTCACACTGCGATAGGAATAGAGTCACCGCTCCCACCCAAAGCCCTTGCAGAGTCATCCGCGGTGCAAAGAGCAGCTGTTCTCAGCCGGCGGGGGAACACGTGAACCATCCCTTTTTCAGAAATCAATCCCTTTAAGAACACACACAACTTCAATCTTAAAACATCTTCCTCTTACTCCCAAGCTGTGTTCCTGCTGCAAGCTTTACAGATTCTAGCACTGAAAACAGAGCAACAGCAATGGCAGCAGCCCGGGGAGCCACACCGTGCAAGAGGGGAGAGGGGGAAGCCTTCATCAGAAGACAATGTTCCTCTGCACAATGCAAGTCTTGTTTTTTTGTTTGCAAATGGCACTTTCAATCAGCTCAAAGTCAAATTCTTGCTATTAACAAAATTGCCCCAAAATAATGTCCAACATTATTCAAATGTACATGTGTAAAAAGGTAGCTTTCCTTCCAAGAATTCCAAATATACATCTTTGATAAACTTTAAAGTGTTTAAGACTGTATTTAGGCAGGTAAAGTCTGCTATTCAGAAGTACTCATAACCAAGTCAAATTCCAGATTACAACTCACACCTTCAGATCCTCCCATGATTCAAATCACAGCAGGAGTGCCCCACACCACACAATCACAACCTCTCAACAGCTACATCCCATCAGCATAACAAACTGCCAGTCTCACCAGTAAGGGCCAGGGTGCCCAGGATGGCTGCTCCCCAAACAAGCGCAGTCCCTGTCCAGCCACGCTGTGCTTTCAGGGTAAGAAAGCAGAGCAAGCCACAAAAGGTACAAATTTGGTATGTTATGTATAATTTTATTATACTTATTAAAAGAGAATCTGGATTAAGTAGTGGAAACTTGATAATAAAAACTGCACAAAATACTTTCCTCACTTTTAAATCCTTGATGAAAACCTCCATAAATTCTTTGTCTCTGAGATTACAGTATATACAGAACACTAAAATCTCCCTTATTCACTAACCACTTCTTTTACAGAAACAATGCTTTCAAATTATTTTTAAAGCCTAATACACGAATAGCAACACTCCTACGGAACCCTGCAGGAACAATTCCGCACGTTCCACCTCCAGAGCCAGCCCCACATATCAGCTTAAGAGTTATTCTAAGCTGCTTGTGAGCTGCCTCTATGCAGGCTCAGAGAAGGATAGAGTGGTTCGAAAATACCACCTCTACCTCTCCCCATCTATAAAAAGTATCACAAGCAGAATGTACTGAATGGAGGCATTATTTCTTACTCTATTTCCAGATCTAAACCAGAACAGAGTGCAAAAGTAGCAAAACTCCCCAGTCCTTTTCGGAACCATTTTTTTTCCTCCATTTCCAGCACTTTGGCTTCTCCATGCTTGAGGCACAGCACTTGCTCCTGGCAGGGAAACGGCGTCAATCGATCTCCAGCAGAAACGCTTACCCGCCAAGACACACAGAAATGGAATGATATACTCCATTTCTCTGCAGATGCAGAGGAAATTCCCACAGCACCTGAGCAGAGCAAGATGTAAACCGGCACTGAAGGCCAGAAATTTTTTTTCCAGCCATCAAACTTCTTGTTGTTTCCAAGGTCTAAGCATGAAAAGAATAGAAGTAGAAACTGATATAAGCTGGTATTCAGCATACCCTCCTCCCAAAGAAATTCCTTGGTGTGTTTGAGTGTTATTTTACTCTCAGGAAGCTGGGAGTAAGTTTAACAAATTATGATGAAGACTTGTTTAACAAAACACCCTATGAAATGTCTAGGGCTGTAGAAGCTAAGAACCTTCGGAGGTTTATACATAGAAAGGCTGGGCAGAGAAAGAGGGAGAGGAAGAGAGAAAACAAGCCCCACAGTGGACATAAATTGCCTTAAAAAGAGATTAGAAGGAATAAAGACCACTATAAAAGCCTGCACATGTCTTTAGCTAACGCTATTATGTCACTTACCACAAACTCGAGGTAAATACTATTTCTTATCAGCACCTATCACCATCAAAACCACAGTTTGTAATATTTGACTTATTTAAGTATGTGTTTTACTGGATATATTCTGGAATATAATTGTTTTTCACTTTTCTTATGCCTCTGTTTTTTTTCCATTTGTACACAGACTTCAAAAGGATATCTGATACACACGGTTGATAGCAGGAAAAAATTAACAAAAATAACTTGCATCTGAAATTAAAAACTGGTTTAGCAAATTTAGTTTGCTGAGGAAATGACTCTTTTCAAATTTAGATATAATGTGGGAAATCAGTCTTTTCTTTTTAGAAAATTTTATGTTTAGTACAAAAATCACAGCAACCCAAGCTAGTAACCCTGTCTAAGAAACCACGAGGATTTCAAACATCAACTCACTTTCTCCATAAAATCTGAACGGGTCAATAAAGTTCATGTTACAAATATGTGAATTTATTAAAAATAGGGTACTGAATAAGAAATCAGATGGCTGAAATGCAACCCAAACCAGATTTAGTGACTGCTGACTAGCTGAAGAGGCAATAGGAAAAAAAAGTGAGCTCCAGGATGGCGTCGCGCATCCTGCAGGTGCCATGGAAATCTGCACCTTACAGCCCCGTCTTTTGGATGCCAAGTCACCGTTCTACACATGAACACACGAGCGCTTCATCATGAGCCTCGTCTTGCTGCACAGTCCCCACCTTTGTCCTTTCAAGTCTGGAATGTCTCTAGTGCGCTTCAGGTGCAGGTGCACATCAAAACCATTTGAAAGCTGAAGCCAACAAAAAAAAAAAAAAAAAAAAACCACTCTGTACACGCTGTAGCACCAAAAGAACAGAACAGGGAAATGGCTGAAAATACTTAAACCACTTCCACTAATAGGATAGAGATCAAAGTTTGGGTCTATCATTTCACATTCGCTATTTGAAATTAAAGAAAATATTCATAAATGGTAATGATTTTTTGTGAACAAAGCATGAGAAAAACATAACCAATACATTTATATGCATTATTTATTAAAGGAAAACTTTGAACTCTGATTACTGAACCACACCAGAGACAGAATGTAACTGCATGTTCCTGTTCTCATACTTCTATTATTCGACCTCTTTACAGCCTACAACTCAGTTGAGTATAATTTCCTTTAGTGTATTAAACACTACCCCCCTACAGAAACACACACACTTCAAGCACATGAACAACAAAATGGTATCTAAATAATCAGGCATTCCTCTTAATGTCACCCTGCATACAATTCCCCCATCTGTTTTACATGCCTGCTCACTCTGTGCTGATTATTCCAAGACTGCACTACAGGATCTCCAAGGGCAAAGCCATGGTTTACAGGGTGCTTGTGTTCCCTTCTGCTAATATGGAAGCAGGGTCACTGATCAACCGACTTTACAGGCTCCACCCCACTATTCGTTCTGTCCAGCTTCTACCCAAGACCTTCTTTAGGTGACAAAATTCCTCACACTCTCCTCCCAAAAATACTGGTACATCTAACTCTGCTCCTTCTTTTCCTCAGTACAAACAAACATAGCAACTGTCGTTGTCCGTATGTACAATCAGTTCACACATAATGAACTAATACTGACCCAAGTAAATATGAAGCAATATGTGTCAGATAAAGAAAAATTTAGCACTGTTGTCAGGAAGAGCTCAGCTTTCTCCATTTGGCAATGACAAATACCCTAGAGCTAATCCATAGTCTAAAATCCTTCCAACTCAACAATCAACTAAAGCAATCACCCAGCAAGCAGCAACAATCAAGTCTTCCTTCTACTTCTGGCTGGCTGAAAAATAATTACTTCCTCCCCAGATATGATCTTTTTACAGCAGTAAATGCATCCCAGCCTCCAGACTAGCACACAGAAAAATGCTGAGTGGTTGCATATTTCCATACAATACAATTGCTACTGAACTGCTACAAAGGCTGCAGTTTGTGCAGACAATGGATGCACCTCTTGAGTGTTTCTGGCTCCAAGCCAGATACTTCATCCTTCTGTCAATTCCTGCTTCTGCTCCTGTCGGTGAACAAAAGTCAATGAATGACAGTCAATGAATCAGGACCTACTACATCCACAACTATCCCCACTCATTAGCTACAGGACAACAACAGCTTTTCAGAATAAATTTTATTTTCAGAATTTATTTTTACTTATGAGGTTCACTATTAAGTTGATTCAAGCAGAGGAAAAGCCTCCAGAAGTACTGAGAACTGCCTACAGTCTGTATATAATTGCACATCGTTAGGCCACCTTTTTTGACAGAACAGTTAAACAAATGTATACATATTATACACATATGTTTAACATCTATATATACACACGTTATAATTATTCCCTTTCTTGATATAAATTTCTCTCATTCCTAATTCAAAACTAAGAGTAGATTTTTTAAAAATCAAGTAAGCATTCTGATACTGGGATATGTAAATCATGTACATCAGCTCCCCAAGACCATTATTAGTGAACCTATATGCTTAACAGTACAGCATCAACACAACTATACACAAGCCACAGTGCACTACTGACTTCTTAAACAGTTAAAA